TATGTATGATGCTGTTTGATTGCTGGAGTTCGCTAATGCTCATCTTCCTTGCACAAATAGCCAAAACCATAACAACAACAAAAGAGACAAAAGAACCCAGAATTTATTCACGTCATTCGTTTATTATATCATAATAATATGAAGTTACAAGTACTTATGACTGCTATTGTTCTTTAAAGCATACCACTAAAGTACCAATAACAGAGACAACGTCAGTTGCCGGCTGTCCATCAGGGGGCGGAGAGGACATTCCTCCGGATGGAGAGCCAACCCATGAGGATGGGTTCAGTATAGTCAAGGGAAAGCTTCACATGCTCGAAAAACTAGGTCCAGTGCCAGTGTTCCATTAAAATATCCCTAGAGTGACAAAAAACACCAATTGACGGCAGCAACACGAATTCCTTCTCTCACGCCACTAGCAGTTTTACCGCAGATCCAACGTGTTAGATATTGTGGACGAGGGTAGGGCCTTCATGTCCGTGTACAGGAAGGAAATCTAATTTTCCGCAGGAAGGAAAACACGTTCGTAAGTATGAAGCTACGGACCGATTACCACCAATACGACACCACGCATTTGCCAGGGTTACACATGTGGAATCGCCCCGAATGCAGCAGTGCTGTCCTCACATCTGAATCGCAATTAGAGGCAATCTTCACCTTTGATACAAACACAGAGGCTGATGACAATCGCGCATAGGCATAAAATCAGACCACAAGCACAGGCAAGAAGAAGTGCCACAGGCGGAGGTCGAGGAGCCTGTGTTGGGGAAGCAATGCAATCTTCTTCGGCCAAGTCACGCGCTTCGCTCGGGCACACACCCACCCAGGTTCTTCCAAAAAGGGAAAAAAAAAAAAAAAAGGATTATGAAAGGAGGGTCGCAGGTGAGGAACCAGTTTACATAATCTCTGGTGGTGTCTTTTTTTTGGCAGTAGTTCGGAGGAGGATTTGTTCATTGGTCGACATTTGAAGTTCAGTCCCCGTAAGGCCGAAGAGAAATGAAGGGCCCTTTCTCTTCTTCTTCTGTTTTCCCCCCCTTTAAAAGAGGGAGTTAGCCCCTACCTAATCTTATTGGGTCCTTAATACTCCTTATGGCATTTGAAGTTTGAATTCTTGCTCTGTTTCTGAAAAACTATGTGCATGACACTGTGTGTACCATTTAGTCACAAGTAAGGTACTGAAGAGAAGCTTCTTATTCTGTACCAAAAAAGAAAGAAGAAGAAGAAAGATCCTTGCAGTCCTCCAAACAACCACATAACCAGGTAATGGTAATCAATCAATCAACGAAAGACAGATATATTATCAGGATGCAGCCATGAAAGATCACATTCATCCATAAACCGACAACTGCTGGCTACATGCTGAAGCCTTCGAACTAGACAGAGTTCAAGACGGAGACACTTTAGGGACACTTTCGCAACCACCCATCAAGTTTGACTACAACAAAGAGGGAAATTTTTTTTCCAAAACACGAATGAATGAATAGACAAAAAGGATGCAAACACACAAAGAAGATGAAATGATTGACGAAGCTGCTCCAAACTTTTAACTCGAAGAAGAATCAGAACACTGAAATTTAACGAAACTGCTGCAACTCTTCATCATAACAAAAGCATAATGGTACACAAAGCCACTGTAGCATCCTACGGGCTCCTGCACGGAGCTTCGTTCTTGGCCCCCGGGCCGCAAAGCCCCTTTGGCTGGGCGACTTGGTGGGCCACGGCCACGTTTGAGGCCCAGGTTCATATTTTTGTCCCATTTGCTTTTTTTTAATGCAGCATTTATTATTCAGTTATCAACTTATTTTTACTGAGTGAGTTTGGGGCTTTTTTGTTTTTCTGAGCTTTGGCTGGACTAATTTTTTGTTTGTTCCCGATGTGCCGTTTCGGAATTTTCTTTTGTCTAAACGGGCATCTGGCTATTCAGACCAGTGGATTTCAGTTTTGGGCGTGGTAGTCCAGGTTCAGATTTGTCCGTATATGGGACTGAACCAGGCGTTCGTCTGTTTGTGCCTGGCCCAGTCGTCAGGACCCTGCTGCATCAGCAGGGTTGTCTGGACGTCCGGTAAGGACCCAGGCAGGCCGGTTTTGGCTAGGATCGTAGGACCAGGACTTGGGCCTAAGATCAGGACCATTGATCGGACACTAGACCCGACGGTCCTGATCGCGGACCTAGGGCTGCTCAGCCAGGCCCAGCGGTATATAGCTGGGCCATTCCACTTCGAGGTCATTCTGGCTGGAGCCTCAGTTGGGCGTCACGCTGCTCGAGCAGCGCCAGTTTGGGGAGAGCTGCGATAGAGTAGCAGCGCCACAGGAGTAGGGGAGTAGGCTGGAATGGAGAGGTTGGAAGAGGCCATAGCCACGAGGGGGAGCTAGACTCACCTGGGGGCCAAAGCTGGGACTGCATACTGGTCATGCGACCGGCCTTCAGCAGCGACCTGCATCAGGAGTCGTCACCTTTGCTGGTCAGTATTTGTGGCATCATCATCAGGAGAGTGTGAGAGAGGAGGGTTCGTCTTCTCCTTCTCCTCCTTTTTCTCCTGATTCTTCTGGCCCCTCCATAGCCACGGTTCTTCCTCTTCCTCTTCTCCTCCTCCCTCTTCTTCTTCTTCTTCAGAGAGAGAGAGACAGAGAGAGAGAGAGAGAGAGAGAGAGAGAGAGAGAGAGAGAGAGAGAGAGAGAGAGAGAGAGAGAGAGAGAGAGAGATTTGAGGCAGTGACTATTTCGGGCCTATGAGCGCCCAGGATCCGATTCGACATTTTGGGAATGCCGATTATTTGGATATTTGATGGCGGAGACCATTTTTGGTTCGATGTCGGGTTAACTCTCTTGCCTTCCTCCCCTTCTCACTCCCTCGTCTCCTCCCCACCTCCATTATCCATGGTTTTCTCCCCATGTGTGTGTGCAAGAAGGGGTCTTTCTTCCATGTATGGTCCCCCTCCTTGCTGATCCGACATGTGTGATGATGTCTGTGTGAGTCCGGTCTGAGTCCGATGATGTCGGCTCATATTATACTGTTTGTTCCGAGTCCTGTTCCTCACACTGGTGCTCCTTGGACATGTGCATCGCTCATCTTCAGATGAACATGCATCGGCCACTTTGAAGTGTACTTCTTTGCTTTGCTAATTTTTGAAATGCGGTATAACATTGTGGTTGATAAAAAGTACAGACCATCTGGCGCCTGGGAGCTGAGACCTGTAGGTTTCATGCCACTCCAACTTTGCGCAAACATCCTTATTTAACATTTATACAAATATAGCATGATATATGGGTATTATAGGAGTAGAAACTTACTATAAACTTAGTATAGACTCTATAGAGTGAAGATACACAGCATTAGGAGCAAAGTGTGCATCTTCACGAAATTGATATTTGATAATTTTGCTTCCATGGTGCATTCTGTGGAACACAAGGTTGAAACGGCAACAAGGGAATGGAAGCATGGGCAGGTGCCAGAGCAAGGAAAGGGCAGACGAAGGTGAAGCGAGGCCAATAGCAGATTCTGCAGCAGCTATAGTTAATAGTACTTGAGTCTTGATACAAAAAAAAAGGAAAATAATTGACCCATCATGCCGGCAGCCATCTAGATAAACAGAAAAAGGGAAATACTCAGAGAGAGGGGATGAAGAGTAGCTGGGGGAACGACAACAACCACTGAGGGGAGGCAAGTGGAAGGAAGCCTAAGAGAGAGGAAAGGGAAGGAGACTGAAGTGTGAGAGCAAAAGGTGGAGGGGAAGCAAGAAGTAAGGGAATGACAGAGAGAACATACAGTAGCTTTGTATATTCCAGGACCCCTGATCCCAGAATAAGTAATATGAGTACCAAGAGTGCAAGCGAAAGGCAAGCAATAACCACGGGTGTGAAGGGAGGGACGGAAAAGGAGTCTTGCTTCCTGTACACGTGTTACACGTTGAGAGAGAGAGAGAGAGAGAGAGAGAGAGAGAGAGAGAGAGAGAGAGAGAGAGAGAGACAGACAGACAGACAGACAGACAGACAGACAGACAGACAGACAGACAGAGAGGTGAAAAAGAAAAGGCATTGTCAAGAGAAAAGTGAACCAAAAGCAGTTGTCGGAGTTCGGGTACTGAGGAGAGCTGATGAAATATGGTGTCCATGGGAGGGAAAGACAGAGCGGGGCCCAAACAGCAGTTTGAGGTACGTGTTTGCTGTGGGTTCGTGAGTTTGCAACTTGACTGTTTCTTCAACAGTTCTGAACACACCCTCTCACCCCAAGTTCGGTGCACTTGGCCTGTAATTGGACGAACTGCAACGCCACAATTAGGACCACCATACCAATTTTCGCCTCCATGTTAGAAGGGGGGGCAGTGGTTTTCATTGCTGCACCTAGGAGGAGGAAACACACAGAAAAGCGACAAACAGGAGGACCAGAGTGTGTCCGTGACAGCAGAAGTTGAGATTCTGGAGGAACAGAACAATTATCACAAAACTTGACAAAAGTGGAAAAGCAAGATCCAGACTGCCCATAGCAATGACGTCACAGTCCCTGCACAGCAACCATATTTGGAGCATAGCAACCAACAACTCACTCACCTTGTCGTTAACTAACCCTTACATATGCCTTAATTGCAAAGCTTTGCCCCCCTTTCAAGGGCCAAATTACAGAACCGATTTCAGGTTCTCGACCAAATACAACTGCACCTTGGGTCCTTTGTGCCAATTGCAACTCACTACGTGTGATAGTGCTTTAACTTCTTTTATACCTTTTCCATCTTTCGTCTTTCGTCTTTCGTCTTTCATCTTTGTCTTTCATCTTGCGCCTTGGGTCCTTTGTACCACTTGCAAATCACTAGGTGCGATGGTGCTTTAACTTCTTTTATACCTTTTTCGTCTTGCGCCTTGGGTACTTTGTACCACTTGCAACTCACTAGGTGCGATAATGCTTTAACTTCTTTTTATACCTTTTTCGTCTTTCGTCCTTCATCTTTCGTCTTTCATCTTTCGTCTTTCATCTTTCGTCTTTCATCTTTCGTCTTCCATTTGTTTTCCATAAAAGTTGTAGTTCGTGAAGAACAAGACACAATACAAACAAGGGCTGCCGTCAAATATCTGAAAACCTCAAAGCCAAGCAGGGTGGCATGCCACAGTCTTGGACCGTGCTATGTGTAATACAAGGAAACCAGGGGACAGGGGCCTTGCCATATGATGGCCCATATCCCTACCTTTTCCAGAAACGGGCCTACCACTTCGAAACGTGGGTAGATAACCAACAGCTTCCAAACAAGGTTGATCTCCTCCCCTGTATCAAGACGGCTCGATCAGGAAAAAGTTTGAAAAACTAGAGATTCTCAATTCGGATCCCAAAGCGGACGCTCGGCCATTCAGTCCTGTTGAGGAAGGTCCAAAATTCTCCAAATCATCGCTCACAAACCTTGGATACTTTTTCAACTAGATAAGAGCATTGCAGAACCGGAAGTCGATCCAGAGGACTGGCTGTGGACTCAGAAGAGCCCCAGTAGATAAAGAGTCAAATTTGGCTACGAGCTAGGTCTGAAGAGTGCGTAAACACTGTAAAGACCGACACCCTGAGACCGATGATCAACAGAGAGGGGGAAGAGAATACTGAATCGAAACCCAGAAGAACAGATTAAGATAGCGTGGACGAAGAATCAATCTTTGAAAAAAACTATAAAGATTTGTAGCCTGCAATGGCTGATCGATCGTGTTTACCTCCCTTGTTGGCAACCAATGGTTGCACAAGAGCAGAAAGCACATTTTCGAATGAGCTCTGGAGGAGGCGATTACAGTGAGATGCATCCAGTTCTGTTCGTAATTCCAGATAGATACATCCAGGAAAGTGCTACCGTCTTCACCCAAATAGAACGCCCGGTCGTTATAGCCGTTATTTGGTGCAACTTTCAGTCTACATACAATGTTAATGACCGGGCGTTCTATTCGGGTGAAGACGGTAGTGTGCGTATGCCCTCAGACCCTAACAGATTGGATATTTGCTCATGTGTTCAGATAATGTGCCAGAAGGTGTCATCATCCACTGCCTGTTTTCTTTTGCTCTGAAGTGACCTGGTTTTGGGAAAGAGTGAAAAGGTTGTCGGTCTAGAGTGAAAAGGTTGTCGGTCTTTCTCTTCACCCCTAAACTCCTCCCCCCTCGACACCCCCCAACCTTGCTCCCCCCTCCCTCTTCCACCCTCGTCCTCGTGATTATACTTTTATCTCCATCCTCAAGACCCTGAAAGGAGGAAAGAAGACCTGGTTCGTCCTGCACAGAAAGAAAAGTCAACCTGACAGTCAACCCTCCATGTGATTGGAGCAATCAACGGAAAACAGCGGTCCTTTAGTCAAACAGAAGGAAGTGTGATTGAGTGAGTACATTTTATATTCTTCATACTTGCCGGCGGAAAAGGAACTGGACTGACAATGGTCCCGAGCATGGATATGGGGCCAGGACCATAAGGACCTGTGAATCATCTGGAAGGGAGGTGAACCCGAATCATCTGGAAGGGAGGTGCACCCAAACCCTCGACAAAGATGGTTGGGCGAAAGCGGAAGGCTGGTTCCACCGACTGATATGGTGCAAATTGGCATTCACAGCAGATGGAATACAGCAAGACAATCGGCGAGAGAGCGGCCAGACAAAGTCTGACTCCACTGGCGGGCATAGCTAGCGCTCCTTAGGTGATGGATACTGGTGCATGTTACCAAGAAGAAAATTTTCAACAGAGGATGGCCACTGCAAGGAAAATGAATACGGTCAGCCAATTGGCGAGAGACAGGCCAGAAAAAGTCTATTGCCAAGACGAAAGTTTTCGACAGAGGATGGTTGCTACGGGGAAAACAAGCCACTGCCGATGACGACAAACGACGATGGAAGAAATGGGATAAATCAGGTGCCAATGACAGCGGTGCGGTTTGAACCAGAGTTTGATGACAAGATATGTTATTGGCAAGCGGAGAAGACCGAATCAAGGGCAGGAATGATGCACTCCACATGTTCTACAGATCTAACAGACAAATCTAGGGCCTCAACAAGTTCAAGCGTCCTGATGCGATACACGACGGGGACATAGAAACTGTTTTTCCGAGAGAAACTCTAGTGAATCCGATGTGAGGAGTCAGTCCGACAGTCAACGGTTTCTTTTCCCGGGTGAAGTGTTCCTCCTACCCCCTACCTCTTTCCCATGACTCTGGGACACCTCTTGACCCAGATATCCCAGAGAAGTCCCAATCTGCTTATTGAGGACAAATTCATCAGGAATGGGTTCTTACTACTTAGCAACTTCTTACTTACAGTCTGCTCGCGTCCTAGAAGGATTGGCTGCCCGTTCCACTTCCAGTCACATCTTTTTGGCAGTCTGAACCACACTGCCTCCCACCACCTCCAGGTCATGAGAGCTTCGGAGAAGGACAGGAAGAGGTGTTTTATGGTCGTGTGGATCTTCCTGAAAGAGAGAGCTTCTAGGCATGACCCACACCATGGCTGGGCGAGGCCCTTTCCATCAAGGCCAGCTTTTTTAGTTCAGCCAGTCTGCAGTTGGCAAGCAGTACAAGCAGCTGTGGACGATTTGCGAGCGGACAGATCCGACCTTTTTGCTGGACCTTGGGATCTGTCATTACGCTGCAAAAACCGGTCGATTATCCTGTGAGTCGCTGCGCATCCACAGTTAGATGCTTTTTTCCATCTATCGAGAACAATAGACTTTGCACAGACTTCTGGCTTTAAGAGTCTGTATCCCCTTTTTCGCGCGTCTTTGGAGCATAATTCCGATTCTCCCGATTTGCTGCGCATCCAAATTCAGATGATGCTTTTCCCATCTATTGATAAGAATGGACTTTGAAGAGGCTATTGGATTTAGGAGTTTGTATCCCCTTTTCAGAGCATAGTTTCCATCCTCCAGATTTGCTGAGCATCCAGCTTTAGATGCTTTTTTCCATCCATTGAGAAAAGAATAGACTTTGAAGTTTAAAGAGACTGTTGGCTTTAGGAGTTTGTATCCCCTTTTCAGAGCACAGTTCCGGCATTGGTTTAAAATGTCTTTGATCCGAAGCCGATGGTGCGGTGTGCCCATTGCCGTTGGAGGGGGTTGGGGTTGGAGTTGACGGCTATAGATTGCACAGTGGGGTGTTTGTGTTTATAAAGCCAACAGCCTGCGTAGCACCGGCGGTTTGAATGATGGATGCTACCAATCAATTCATTCTATTAGGGTTTCCAACCGCTACAAGCGTCAATGAATTTAACCCGTCAGATGTTGCATCTTGCAATTTATCCCCGCAGATTTCCCAACGATTACGATTGTGGCTGGAGGCCCCTGCAATGTCCAGGAATGTCCTGAATGTTGTTAAGCATACCTTCTTTTCCAGTGGAGTTCGAACTCAGGCCTGTACTTCAACAGTTTGGAGGTGTACAGACTGAGCTAGGCCAGTTGGTGTTGCTGTGGCATACCTATTGTGACTTCCGGGGTTTGGTTGGTTTTCTTTTTTGACTTAAGATGTGGATGTTATACCAACTGGCCTAGCTGTCAGTTGGTACACCCCTGAACTGTTGAAATACCAGACAGGAGTTCGAACTCAACAAGAAGGAGATGAGTAAAGTACTACAATTCTGAGTTACCTAGGGGCGGTTGATGATATCTCAAGGCTGTTGCGGCAGTGTTAAAAGGGAAACAAAAAGGATGTGGATGTTCTGAACAAGCATGCGTTTGACTGAAAAGGGATGCTGCAAAGAATTAAAACCTTGCAGTTGATGAGCATGGATGTCAGAACGGAGGCATTTAATGCCGTTTAGAATTTAAGAATTAATAATGGTAGACCTGGGCCCCAATATGGCCATGGGCTAAGGGTCAGTTTGGAAATCGGACAGTGCAGAGATCTTAATAATCTGATTATGATGCTCTAGGAATGCTACAGGAATCCGCCAGAACTGCTCCGGATCCAGGAACACTCCATGAAAGCTCCAGGAACGCTCTAGGAAAGCATTATCAGAAGAGACTTCTTGCGCAAGCTAATGTCTATATGTCGATGGGGGCAAGTTCATCGGGACAGGACTCTGACGGTCTGACCCAGAAAAAAATCAACTTCACAGAGGACAGATGTGGACTGTATAAGGTTCAGTAAACAGAGGCTCTCTATAACAGAGTTCAGAAGGCCAGGAGGGAGGGACTTTTGGGTAACTTCTGGAGTTCCAGCCTTCCAGGAGAGATGGGTGTTTCGTTGGAATCGACTCACAAATCAGCAGCGTAATAGTCGCACTCAGACAGCAATTAGGAACGAGATAGCGGCAGAATGTGGCAGCTAAATAGCAAAATGTCTCGCTCGGATCGACTCACAAATTGACGACAAAATAGCTGCACTCAGGAAACGCGTTATGAACAACACAGTGGCAGAGTGGCACCGAATTAGAAAAATATCTCGTTCCATTGACGAAGCAAACTCTGACTAGTCTTGCAATCTCGCTGCGCCAGGAAGCACGTTCGGGCTATAGTTTGTCCGAACTCTTGGGTTCAAAATTAAAATCATACATTGTGAGTTGCTCTGGGACTGAGTTACAGATAGCACTTGTCACAGAGAAAGGCAACTGCTGGGAAGGGGGCAAAAAAAAAAGCCACTTTTTGTAACTGCTGAGGTAAATCCTGGGCTTCAGCCTGGAAGCCTAAGTCGTAAATATAACCTATACCGCATTCTTCAGAGGCTGGCAGAGGTCGGGCGCTACCCAACCAGAAAGGCTGGCGGCGCCAGCCAAAACCAAACAAAAAACGCTGTGGTGGCGCTTCGGCGCACAGTTCTACTCCGCCTCGGCGAAAAAAGGCTCAGAAGTAGTGGTGGTGGTGTTAAAAAAAAAAAAAAAAAGGTAACTTCTGGTTAGCCGGCAGGTGTTGCTTCGACGCTGGAACCAATAGCTGATTACCGTGGTTACATCGCAGCGCACATGGGTATTACGGCCACGTCGGCCAGGCCCAACCAGTGCCATGTCCATACCCAGAAAGCATGAATTGGTTGGCATAGCTCGCCAAGCATGGTAACCGCCCGGACGTCCGGACCGGGTTCCAGACAGTCCAGTGTCCGGTGTCCGATCCCCATTGTCTGGATGGAGGCCCCTGGGGCAAAAAAAAAAAAAAAAAAAAGGGGGTGGCCCAGGACGTTTGTTGGGTCCTAGCCGCCCCTCGAAAAATAACGGGGTGATTTTTAAGTGTCCTTTCACCCCACCGGACATGGCCTAGAGGTCCAGACACAAGACACTGCAGGCTTTTGAGGTGGTGGATTTCGCACAGGCCCGAGCAATTTCAAAGCGGCCGTTTCTTCGTGGCGCCCACCGCTCCTGCCCGTTAGAGAGAGAGAGAGAGAGAGAGAG